AAAAGAGATATAATATGAAAAAGAGTCAGCGTCAAAGTTGAACCAGTCACTAATAACATTAACACCACCTTAGTATGTAGCTGTCGTGAGATCAAAGATATTAATATTCTAGTTAAGTGAATAGAGCCAAAATTAGTATTAATGGTCCGCAGTATCTCCCGTAAGACGTTTCTTTTCAGCCATTATTCGGTACTTGTTAGTGATCTAAAAAAAAATAAGCTGCACAAGATATTTCATCTGTAAAAGCTAGATCCCACTTGTTTAATGATGGTTGATTGCCGACCGTGCCGAAAGTTCTGCATACCGGGAATCTTCAAAAGTTTACTAGGACTGCGTTTATCTGCGGAAGTCACCTTTCCAGGCCCTTAAATGACAGACTGCTAAGAAGAAAGAAGGCAGTAAGAACACTAAGCAGTTCCTCATTTGCAAAACACTTCTTTAAACGGAGAGGAGATGATTTGAGAAAAAAAAACGCATTATTGTTTTGCTCTCCCAAAGTACACATTTGATGAATTGCTATGCGAAGAGATTCGCTTCGTGCATCTGGTCAATTGAGCATCCACTATGCAAAACTACTGTGATCCTATTCAACATCAAAAACTCTACTGTCATGACAACAATTGACTTTTGAGATGCAATTAGAATATCATGTATTATGGCATCATCCCTTGAACTGATTCTTTTTGGCAAATTTCTTAAGTTCTCATTAGAAGGGTTTCAAGAAGCCATAGTGTGAAGATGACCGTTATCTGCGTAAGAGCCCGCCAACAAGTTTTGAGCATTAGTTTTACTTGGTTTTTAATGAACTACTCGGGAAAATCGTTGATTTGCAGATAGATGGAGGCACAGTGTGTTCTCTAGGAAAATCGATCCTTAAACGAATGAAGCAAACTCCTTCGCTTTAGCCATTGAAAATCCGAATCAATTGAGGAAACAAGACAGATCTTTGAAACCTAATTGCTGTATTCTGCCGATCGCAGAGATAAGAAATTGTAATAAAATGACATGTATTTTTTCCATGATACTACATTGTTTGCATTATAGCACAATTATGAGGCTATTTTATGCAAAAAAAATTATTTACACAAAATTTATGATGAAATAATGAATTAAAGGTGTTGTCCTCTTTGATTTCAATCAACCGGTATGGACTTTCCTTTCTACGCTTGAGAGTCTCTTCTCGCACTATCATCACAATGATCTACTTTCATATTGACAATTTCCAGTTGAATGTTGAGATTGTGCTGACGTTTACCCTTATTGGGAAAAAATTAAATATGACCAATCGTGTTTCTACTGACAAAGAGCGAAAAGACCAAACACAAAACTTCGTCTGGTCATAGCAAGTAACCCAAGCTCAAAATACTGAGGCGATAAAAGCACAGAACAAAGGCATACTTGCTCCTTTGCGGTCTGTTGGTGTACTGTTGACCTCATCACTTCTGGTTATCTTCACATGTAAAGGCGAATGTGGTGCCCTAACAACCGACAGGCCTGGAACGACTCCTCCAGAGGATAATCTGAAAAATTAATGAGGAATGGATGAGAACATGAATAAGATCTTCAACTGATACCTAGCGGAACGTCTGTTGGAACGCCCATTTGTGGCTAATAAACGTCGACGACCTCTCATCGTAGAATTTGGTTTATCTTAAATTTGACAATCGATAATTTATTAAAACGTTAATTTGATGTAAAAAGTTGCAAGCGACTAGCCATCAGGGAAAAAGGCAATGCATCATAAAAATGACAACAGGGAAAGCTAAGCGTATGCCTTTTTGCTGTTTGCCTTATTTAAAGCAACAAGCGAACAAGAAGACAAGAAAGAAATTAACGCTAATGGCATGGTTTTCTATTACAGTAATCAGTGCCGCGTTTTCAATGAAGCGCGAAGAGCCAGCCGTTTGCGCGCCCTAAGGTTGAAACCGCAATGCAATTGCAAGAATTGCTGTGATAGAAAACTATGCCATTAGCTTATTTTCTTTCTTGTAAAGAAAGAAGAGATTTGCAATAAGATAAGGAGTAAAGACAAGTTGTTAACACTCTCTTCGCCATTTCTGTCAATACTGAGTCAAAAGAGTTCTGGGTTAGTAAAGTTGCGACTGATTGCGGCAACCATAGATTTACCATAGATCTTATCCTCACTCCCACTAACCTGACACCATTAACCAAATAAATAATCTGGAGCACACATCACGCATCCAATTTATTAAAACAGATAAACAACGCCGCTTACGACGTAGTGGCGAGGATTGTGGGGACTGTGGTGATTCGGCATATAAAGCTTTAGAGGCACTTGATGTCCTGAAATTTCGACATTGTCAAAGAAAATAAAGTACACCATTGCATTACCTTGAAGACTGTTTTTTCCGAGTAGCGTCGGAAGAGGAACCCGGAGAATCAACTGCCATTAAGCGAACATTGAGAAGGGAAAACTGAGAGAGGATGTAAAGAACTCAACGCTTACTTTTTCCCTCATGTCCATTCCAAATCGTTTGCTTCTCCTCTCCTTCTACTTCCTCATCAAAATTCATGCCTTTCTGCTGGTTTGAAGCTAGTTTTGCCTTTACAAACGTTTCTAAAAACCCTACTTATCCAAAATAATGAATATAACAGCTAAAGTTTTTATGATTGCATCAAAACGCCTATTCATC